ACTCTTTTGCAATGTTCTGCTGAACCAATGCATTTCACAGCACCTCTGTACCAATAGAGAATTTAAAGGCATGTACCTACATTCTCCTTAATAAACCTGATCTGACCTGTCATCAGCCGAGTTTTCCCTACATTCGAGCCCATGACCTTTTGGTCATTAAGTATATAACTCTACAACTGAGTCTGCGTCCGTTGTGCTGTCAATTACGATCGGAAATATGATGCAGATTTGGGGCTCATAGATCTAGTTATCCACAGATAGGATTGGGTAGGACTGATTGATAAGTACCAATAAGCCATTCGTGGCCATTCCTGTCTCCCTCCTCTTTGTCGATATCACATAGTCAGGAATAGGAATGTCTGCCGTAATTCAGACGATATTGCGCTAACTAAAAGTGCCTGTCTTCGCGTCCTCATAGTAACTGAACTCTAAGGGTCTATCTTATCCTCTCACCTCTTCTCCCTCCATACTGACGACATCCTATCTCCAGAGGAATGTTTGTGCATTAAATAAGCTGAGGATATGGTTGTTTGCTATCCTCGCTAATGTCAGATACATCCCCAAGTACTGAAGGATGGCCTGGACCACGCCTCAGCATTGTCGTCAGCAAATGGCCTTCTACTTAACCACCGGAAGTCATTCCACTGTGATTTTCGATTGCAACCCTCTCCCAGTCTTGAATTCATTGACATTCTGCCCAACGAGGTATCCTCTTTCGGGTACCTTGGTGTTACTCCGGCATCTAACCTTTCATTTAGTCCTTATATTGAAGGTTTTTTAAAATTAAAATCCGTTCATTTAGCATACCGAAAGCCCTTAGCTGGCGATTTATAGATGCCTGCATTCTCCCCCTCATTCTTTACTGCTCTCCAGTTATTTTTCCAGATTTTCTTTAAAAACGACCTGATCATTTCTAAACGTATCCTCCGAGTGCTATTTTCAGCTGCTGGTATTTGCTCTGTTTTAGCTGACAGTATAATACAGTGACACGTTAAAACGGTCAAGCAATTTGCTGATCGCATCCTTAGTGAGATCGCTTACCCTCTCCACTCTGAACTAATGGCTGCGAAGTCTTCCCGTACAATGCGCCG